GTTTGGCTTTAAGAGGCTGAGACCATACTCCCAGTTGTCTTCATGACGCTTATCCATGTACATAGATGGTATGGTTGGTCCAATCGTCCTCAATGGCCAAAACTTTGCCATCCTATCCACCGCCTATGCATAAAATGAGAAAAAGTAAACAAAAGAAAGTAGGTGTTATCTTAGAAGTTGAATCATAAGGTCAAAAATGAGAGACTTAAAAAAATTCATAAGCTGGTCATAGCCCTTGATTAGTGATGCATACAGTGAGAGATATTTAATTTGGTGGACGGAAGAATGAATTCAATTGGAACCGAAAACCACGAAAACCACCTCAATTTATGATGTTGATCACTACGTATGCACAACCCTACTACACTTATACCTCCTTATCACTAATTTTGTTTACCTCTTGTTCCAGCTCATGAAATGTGTTGCACAAGACCCAATCAGCTTTGTCAAGATTAGAGAACTGGTCCAGAATCAGTTTAAAGAAAGCTGGGTACGATCCAGAATCATAGACGAAAGATGGTGTGTCTGAAGGTTGAAGAGGTGGTAATCCTGGCAGCAAAATCTCAGAGCCTGGATTGAGAGGAACTTTGAGCAGCCCATTTTGGACAAGAGAGTATATGTTGGTAACAGCACAAGAAAAGGTGAAGAAAGCAGCCCCAGCAATCCCAGCCCTTTTGGCCACATCAAGAGCCCAAGACATACATGAATCATAAACTAGACAATCAGCAGGGTGGCCTGAACCAGAAATTTCCTCAATGAGCTCAGCCAAAGTCTGTGAACCTATTTCCCGAAAACGGTCCAAGTAGGCCTCAATGCTCTCTGCTTGGGAAGCCCCTCCTTCATCATAGCCATCAGAAATGGTCTCCAATGCAATGGAAGAGAATGATGATGGTGATTGTCCTCCTCCTCCATGCATGGCCTTGAGAACAGAGCGGGTAGTGATAAATGTGACTTTGAGTCCTTTGTGCTCTAAACGCTTGGAGAATTGGAGCAATGGATTAATGTGGCCTTGGCTTGGATAGAACAAGACCAGACAGTGAGATTTTTCTCTCTTCTCCATTTTGGTGTGCAGAAGCCAACCAAATGTGAGGATCTAGCTAGTGAGAATTGAAGATCAATAAATAAACCAACCAATCAACTTACAAAAATTATTAGTTTCCCTTTTGTCGGTTTCTGTGGACCTAGCAGCTGTCCCCACTTAAAAAGATTGTACATCCTTCTGGTCAGACAATGAAAGTTCTAATTATTTTGGACAAGTTCATAAACTGCAATACAGATTTGAGGTTATGCAAAGAGCTTAAATTCTTGTTTCTAATTGTAAACTTCATGCATATGTATAATATAGGTTGCAAACGAGTTTTATAATATGAATGGATTGATAACACTATATAATAAATACGCGATTATATTGAAAAATGTACTTATTTTGCAATATAATGCGTTAGTTATTATGTTATGTGCATCTATTTTATTATAGGTATTTAAAATACGAATATTAAATGTATATACTTTAATATGAATGAATTGATAACACTTCGCGATCGTATTGAAAAATGTGCTTGTTTTGCAGTTTAACGCATTAGATATTATGCCATGTGCTCTATTGTGGGTATTGTCCTCTGCATCAATAATTTACTCAAATGGAGGCAAAATAGAGAACTAGGACCACTTTTTGGGTTTGAAGAAACGGAGGAGAAATTATTATCGACACGTGACACTGACCAAAATTCCTAGGTTGGGTTGGGTTCCATCTTATCTTATGGATCACCATTTTCATGGCTTAAAAAGATTTTTATGAGTTTGTTTGGGTCTCCATATCGGTTTGGGCTGAATCCACCCACACTTTAATGAGGGTTTAGGGCCAATATCATCCAAACTTTGGTGTCCCATTTCAATCCACCCAAACTTTCATGGGCCAAAATCAGAGGATTTATAATACCTAATCAAACTAGGAGTTTTCGGTGACATGAGAACTCAAAGCAAATTCAAATGGTCATGGGTGTATCCATCTGTGGGAGGATCTAATGACTTTGAATCAAGAAACAATTCAATCATCATAGATGTAATGCATGCTCTAACGGATGATCAAATCAATCCGGTTGTAATATGGGGAATGGGCGGTATAGGCAAGACAACCTTGGTGGAAGAAGTTGGTAAGAGAGCAAATGCAGACGGTCTATTCGACGAGGTTACAATGGCAGTTTTCACCCAAACCGCTGACTTGAGTCGTATTCAAGATGAAATTGCAGAGTTTCTTGGTCTAGAACTTACAGAAAAGGGTTTACGTGGAAGAGCAGATAAGTTACGCAAAAGATTATCAGGTACTAAGAGGGTCCTTGTAATATTGGACAATGTTTCTACCAATGTTTTCAAAGGCGAGGCGTATAGGCGAGCGTTTTTAGTAGTGCTATGCGAGGCGTAAGCCTTGAAGCGTTGAGGCGTAAGCCTTTTGAACATTAATTTATTTTAATAAGAAAAATTTATGATTAATACAATACGATTAAATTGTACAACTAATTCTTATTCAACCATAACAGTCATTTAAATATAATCAAATATAAGTACTAATTGTCATTCAAAGCATAATAATCAATTCCAAAACATAAAATATTTATTCAACATCAAAACAAAAACATAATTCACTCATCCCACTTCTCAACACTAATATCATAGCTATAAAACAATACCATTAATATTTCTAAGATATAAGTATGATGCATGTACGTCATATTTCTATTATATCACATAAACGAATAAGATAACTAGTATATTTATAAATAAATAAAAATTGAAAAAAATTGTACGGAACTTCAAATTACAGTTTATTACAGTCAAATTATACAAGTATGATGCATGTACATACAAAAACAAATGACTTACTTGCAGTCGAAAGATGAAGAGAATTCTTGAAATTGATGGAGTTATCTGCTAAGGGTAAAAATTAGGGTTCTACATGTACTATATATATATATATATATATATATAGTCCATGTGTTAATATATTAATTTAGAGAAAGGAAGAAGAGAAAAAAAAAAGGTAAGTAAAAAAAAAAAGTAAATACAAAAAAGGGAGTCGTCTTCCTCGCGATGCCGTCTTCCTCGCAGACGAGTTGCAGGCTGAAAATTTCTTCTGGTTCAGAAGTTTCCAGGTGCGCCTTGCAACGCTTCGCTCCGGCTGGCCACGCCTTGCAACGCCTTCTCACACCTTCCCAGCGCTAAACTTGCAACTCGCGAAACAGCCGACCGCCTCTGGCGTTTTCCTCCCGCCTCGCTCCGACGCGCGCTTCAAATCGCGCGAAGGCATGCCTTTGAAAACACTGGTTTCTACACAAGTAAATTTGAAGACAGTTGGAATTCCATTTCACTGTGATAAAATGAGTTGCAAAGTCTTGGTAACATCACGAAACCAGGATATATTCAATGATATGGAAACCAAAAAGAATTTTCCTATCGATGTTTTGACAGAACAAGAAGCATGGGATCTATTTAAGGAGATGGCAGGCAGTTCCATTGAATCTCCTGAGCTATATTTCGTAGCACATGAAGTTATGAGTAAATGCGCTGGTCTGCCAATTGCAATTACGACTTTTGGAAGGGCACAAAAACATAAAAGCAAGAATGTGTGGAACGATGCACTTAGACAACCAACAAGGGCTTGCCCAGAAAACATTCCAGGAATGATACAAGAAGTGTATCCCAAAATAGAGTTGAGTTACGAATGTTTAGAAAGCCACGAGGCCAAAGCATGTTTCTTGCTCTGTTGTTTATATCCCGAAGGTTGTAATATATACCAATTGAAGATTTGGTTAGATATGGGTGCGGGCTTAAGTTGTTCAAAAGCATCCACTCAATGGTAGAAGGAAGAAACAGTGTAAAAACATTGGTTGGCATACTCAAAAGTTCTTTTTTGTTGGTAGACAGCAACAAGGAAGGGTGTGTCAGGATGCATGATGTGGTGCGGGATGCAGTCTTATCAATAGCTTCTAAGAGTAGAGATGTATTTGTGGTAAGATACGGGGCGGAACTGAATGGTTGGCCTAACAATTACGTTTCTGGGCAATACATCTGCAGTACACTGATAACAAATGAAACTCCTGAGCTTTTATTGATGTCATGTCCAGATGAATGTTTATTGAAACCAACGGCCACTATTTTAGAAGGAATGGAAAATCTCAAGGTTTTAGCTATGAAGAACACATTTGTACAGCCAATACTGCCATCACTTCCACTTTTGAAAAACCTTCAGACACTGTGTCTAGAGCATTGTAATCTGAATTTGGACATTGGACCTGTCATTGGAGAGCTACGAACACTCATGACATTCAGCCTGCGTGGATCTTACATCGAACAATTACCTGACGAATGCAAAAATTTGATTGATCTAAGGGTGCTGGATTTGACAGGATGCAATAGTCTTAAAGTAATTTCACCGGGTGTCATATCAAAGTTTTTTCTACTAGAAGAACTGTACATGTGGAATAACTTTGGGCAATGGGTGGTAGGGGATCAAACCCCTATTGTACTAGACCAACCATGCATGGATCGGGTGGAAGCCCAGTTAGAACAAGAACAAATAGACACATTGGAGGAAGAATTTCCGGGGTCACGAGAAGAGCACATGAGGTTCGTTGACTGGAAGATTGAGGAATATCATGATGAGGAAGCAGAAACTTATGCAGCAATTACAGATTTACTTTTCTTGCTTCACTTGACTACTTTGGAGATCCTTTAACACTTAAATCCTGAAACTAGGCATCGTAAGGTGTCCCCTCTATCAAGTCTCATTTTTCGTGCACATCCTAAATATGTATTACCGTCAACATATATGTAAAAACCTAGTTCTCTTAGTTGGATAACATGTGAAACAAATTGTTTTGACACAGAAAAGGAAACTCGAGCTAGCCTTTTGTTTCTCATGAGACGATGCTAGTGCTAATAGATTGCAATGTATATTTCTGTAGGTTGACTTACCAGTCTTGGAGACACTAGAAATCCGTGAAATGTACAACTTCAACTCCTTCTGTGAACCAAGAGATCTAAACGTGTCCAATTGTAGCAGATTAGTACCAATGTACATGCAAACCAGATTGCAGAAACTAGAGAAGTTAAATGTGAGAAATTGCAATTTACTGGAAGAGATTTTTGAATTCAGAGAGTTGCCTGTCAATGAAGGGCATGCTGTAGCAACTTCACAGTCAAGGGAAACACCTTCAACTTCCCAGTCTGAAGGAAGGCAAATAAGCAAGATGGATTCGCCGCAATCTCAAGGATTTCAGAATCTAACATCATTATATGTCTCTGACTGTAACAATTTGAGAAATCTGCTCTCTCCTTCCATTATCAGAGGTCTCGAGAACCCAAAAAATCTATCTATAAGCAAGTGCCTGAAGATAGAAGAAATAGTCACTACAGAGGTGGTAGAAACAGAGGATAACGGCATGCTCCCTCAGCTAAGTTGCTTGGAACTTAGTGAGCTACCGTATCTCACAAGTTTTTCTCATGGAAAATATGCTTTCAAATGGCCATTAGTGGAAATGATCATTGTGGACGAATGTCCTGAAATGAAGAATTTTTGTTTATGATCTCTTAGGACAGCAAAGGAAGTCAAAAAAGTATCAGTGGCGCGGGGGAGAATCTTTGGCAGGAGCTCAATGACAGTAGGGAAGAAAGCTGGTCTGCATTTTTAGATCCATAAAAGATTTGCAATTGCATTTCTGTTGTGTTATAATTTGTATTTCGTGACATGAGCTGTGGGATCAATATGTAACATGTAGAATGTTGTGTGTACCTCAATTATTTCATCATGCTGATTTGCGCCTTCTATGGAGGTTTAGTAGCACATATGTAGAGTTTTTTCTCATAATTCTCAAATAATTCTTCTGGTATATTTTTGGACCTCAAGGAAAATGTTCATTAGGATGACAATTAATAAAAGGAAGAGATAATCGTTTACGAATGCCCCAAAATGAAGAATATGATAATAAGCAATTGTCTTCTTCACTTAGGGGCCATTCGTAAACAGCTCTCTACCATTAATCATATCTGGATTGGTAATTTTTTAGAATCCTAATGAGTTCACAATTGCATTCAGTCGCATGGGCACATCATCCCTATGTAGGTTCTAGGGGTACATTACCAAACATGTATAAAAAACAGGTAAAGGTCCCTGAATTTTACCTCGAGTTGCAATTGAGCCCTGCAACTTTTTTTAAGGCAATTATAACCGTTAACTCGACAACCTACGGTCCAAATTTATCAATTTGGCCCCAAAATGAGGGCTAAAAGCGTAATTTCGAATTCCTCTACTACCTCCGCAACCCCTCGCCACCAGAGCTATCACCACCATCACAAGTGCTTTTGGTCCCACCATAGCCATCAATCACCACCGACCCCACTCCCAAATCTGCAAACGACGTCATTTTGGTGATTGAGGCTTACAAGAAACTGCGTGATCGGGCCCCTACCCATCTCTACCTTGTTTGTGGCTTCTCTAAGTCCTTCCACCTCAGCCAAATGCCGGAGAAGAAGACGATGATGCTGTGGGGGTGGGAGAAGAATACAGAGAGAGATCAATGCGTGGGTGGGTGTCTGAGTTTTTATCTCGGCGTAATAGAAGAAGACGATGATGCTGGGAGTGGGAGGACTCAATTGACGGTTTTAACCCCCTAATTAATAGCCAAATTGACAGAGGATCACGGTTGGACGCAATTGCAACTATTTATTAAGTTAATAGATGTAATTGCCTCAAAAAATAGTTGCGGGTCTGAATTGAAATTCAGGGTAAAACTCAGGGACCTCTACAGTTAAAAACTCTATAAATTTAATTAATTATTAGTTTTTTTAGGACAATTTCTATTGAGAGAAGTGATAATATACGAAACTCACACATATCACACGAATACTAGGATTCAAATTCAGGACTTTTCTCAAACAACTACACTAGTGAGTCCTTTGCAATGCATTTGATTTTTAGTTTTAGTTGGTTTAATTAGTCAAATTTGTCTGTTCTCTTGCTAATTTGTGGTTAGATTCTTTCCCTTGATGGGCTGCTTTTGACTGCAACAACAATGGATGGACCACCTCTCGAAGCATACTTGTACAAACAAAGGATATATACACTCTGATAAGAGTATCCATAGTGGGGGAATGTAAAGTCATTTTTACATCCCCTTTACACCTTCGGGGGGTGTAAATATATTTTTTGCTCCAATTGGGGGTGTAAATTCGGGGGTGTAGCTGTGGGTCCCAGCATTTTATGTTGACTTTTCTTCATTTTTCTTCTCTTTTCTCGGGTGGGTCCCGCCTGCAAGGGATGTAAAAATAGATGTAAATATACATTTTATTTTACATCCTCATGGTGGTGATGTATATTTATATCCATTTACATCTCCTCATTGGAGACGATTCCGGTGACTCGGGGTGTATATTTAACATACACCCCCATATACACCTCCCAACTTTGGATGCTCTAAGAATCTTCAACAATGCCGGCCAAATTGTAAAAATCTTCATACAATAATAAAATAAAAACTGCATGGTTTGGAAATTGTCATAATTTGGAATTAATTTGCTTGACAAATTGGCTTTCATTTGCAAGAACGTTGGCTTCGTGACAAAAATATGCATTTTTGGCAATTATTTCTCTAATTAACGAATCATTTTGGGAAGAAAAAGAAAATTCAACAAAGCCATTCAACTGACTGGGAATGGGAACACTTAATTGGGTTCATAAAGAGAGGATGAGACCCCAGTGGCGAACGGTCTTTGACTATGAGAGCATCTTTTCTAAAGTTTCTTGCCATACAATCAACTCTATCTGGCTCATCGCTGCTTTCTTTCATTCTTTGTTTCTTGTCGTGGAAATTTCATCTGTTGCTTTCTTTCTTTCTTTCTTTGTCTTTGCCATTGCTTCACTTATTTGGAAGAAGTGAAGCTCCTTTGTTTCTTATTTGTCTTTCGTATTGCTTCTTTTACTAGCTCCTCAAAAACATCCAGCCTTACTTCCTCCACCAGCACCTATGCAACTTTCTGAGCGTTTGGAATATAGATTACCTTATACACATGAGGTCTTGAGGGTTCTGCAGGATGAAAATACCAACCTGGTTGGCATTAATTGTCGGAAATTCAGAGGAGGAGATACCGTGACAATGAAAGAGTTCATCGAGAGAGTGAAACAGCAAGATCTATTTGAACAAGTTGTGATGGCAGTTGTGTCCCTTAATGCAAACTTGAGACGAATACAAGGTGAGATTGCAGAAATGCTACAACTGAATCTGGGGAATGGGAGTTTGTTTCAACGGGCGCAGGTGCTACATGCTAGAATGTCCCAAGACTCTAGGAGGTTGCTTGTAGTATTGGCTAATGTCCGGGACATGCCTGATCTTGAGGCCATCGGAATCCCTTATGGTGATACCGATACAAACGGAAGGTGCAAGATCATGTTGATGTCAGGACTCATGAATGTACCAGCCAGTGTTGAGATGAGAGCCCAAAATAATTTCAAGTTGTTACTTGAATCTACACCGAAAGGACCTATTGCTTTTGAATCAAGAAATTCGATCCTCAGAGGCATAATGGAAGCTCTAGCAGACGATCAAATCAATCCGATTGTAATATGTGGAAAGGGAGGTATTGGCAAGACAACCTTGGTGAAAGAAGTTGGTCAGAGAGCAAAAGCATGGCGTCTATATGATGAGGTTGTGATGGCAGTTTTTACCCCAAACCTTGACTTTAAATGTATTCAAGATCAAATTGCAGATTGTTTAGGTCTATCACTTGCAGGACAACCTTTATCTGCAAGAGCAAATAGCTTATGCCAAAGATTATCAGGGGATAAAAAGGTCCTTTTAATATTGGACAATGTTTCTATACCACTGAATTTGGAGGAATTAGGAATTCCACTTCCTTGTGATAAGAAAGGTTGCAAGATTTTGGTATCGTCGCGAAACAAAGATATGTTTGCCGGAACCAAAAAGATTTTTTCGGTTGGTGTGTTGCTAGAACAAGAAGCGTGGAGTTTGTTTAGGGAGATGGCGGGCAGTTCCATTGAATCTCCCGAGCTGCTTCCGGTAGCACAACAGGTTCTACACGAATGTGCTGGTTTACCAATTGCAATTGCAACAGTTGGAAGGGCACTGCATCAAAAGAGCAGGAAAGTGTGGATTGATGCACTGAAACAACTAAGAAAGCCTTGCCCAGCAAACATCCCAGGAATGATGCAAGAAGTGTATCGAAAAATAGAGTTGAGTTACGAGTGCTTAGGAAGCAGGGAAGCGAAAACATTTTTTCTGTTGTGCTGCCTACCTGAGCAAAGCAATATTAATATAAGGGTTGAAGATTTAGTTGAATCTGGGATTAGAGTTGAGCTATTCAATGGCATTGGTTCCGAGACTGAGGCATGGAACTGCGTAGAAACATTGGTTGACATACTCAAAAGTTGTCTTTTGTTGTTGGACGGTGACAAGGAACGATTTGTCAAAGTGCCTGATATAGTGCGCAGTGTGGGTTTATCAATAGCTGCTTCAAAGTGGGGTTGAAAGTAACCCTTTTTTCCACTTGAGATATCCATTCTTCACTCTGGTAGCCTTCATCTTACTCACCCAACCTCTCACCAACTCGATGAAAACCAAAATTTTTGTATTAAGGATATTGTTAGTAAGTTGCATCGCCTCCATATACGTTGTTAGAGTTTTTTTGTTGCTGTTGTATCTGTTCTTTGTTTATCTGGAAACTTATTGCTGTAAATGCAAGGCTGGGTAAGGCGCTGATTGTATTAAGTCCCATCTATCTTGCACATCATAACTATATGGACAGTTGTTAATTCTGTACACAACATGATCTGTCCATTGATATAAATAAAACAAGTAATTCTGACAAATAGAAAACTCAAGCCTTTAAAGGATTGGCTGCCAGTGAAGGCTCAAAACGAACTCAAGGCTTTCAGAATCTAACGTCGATTATATGTTTCCAACTGTAACAACCTGAGAAATCTGATGTCTCCTTCCATTGCCTGAAGATAGTAGAAATAGTCAGGGCAGAGGTTGAAGAATGTTAGATTGTAGGGTGATTGTGGTGTTGCTGTGATACCGTTGTTGGTTTTATGTGATGAACGGGTTTAGGACAATTGGACAATAGTTGAAACAAAGTGATTTTATTATATTGGAGGAGAATAGTGCACAGATTGGTGTACATACTACATAGAAGGTGTTTAGTGTTTAGGCTTATTGGTCTCCTTCCTTGCTTATATAGGCTTATTGGCCCTCTTTCTCTTAGCTTGGTGAGCTTATTGGCTCCTCAATATAGCTTTGTTTGGGTAGCTCTTGGCTTCCTTAGTTTGGGAGTTGGGCTTGTTTACTCCCGATTTAGTTTGGGAGTTTATTGGTTCACTCCACATTTCATTGTAGGTTGCATGCCTATTGTTTGCCGACTTAGCCTTGGTAAACTGACTTGGGCACTTTCTCCCAACGTAGTCATGCTCTAGAGATTTCTTCCACCGCCATACTTAAGCCATTCACTTGTCATCTATAATATTCTACCATATTCATCTTGCTTTGCCGCCATGCAACTTCTTTATTGCGAGCTC